TATGGTGCAAACCTAGAAACATAATCAGGGCGAATCCGGGATTCAACCAACGATCTGCATGGCAAATTGTGGCCCCGTGGACAACTGAGCCACCTGTACTTCCCTGACATAACGAAGATATGTCGGCTCTGTGAGGATACATGAACCTGTATTATGACACTACATGAAGACCCAACTGACACGAGCCGAGACCAAGTTCAATCGTCTTGAAGAAAGGTTTCACAGCTCAACTTCAGAAGGTGACGTAATAAGATACTAGGAGTCACTATTCAGTTCCTTGACCCTAGTACACATATATAACATGAAGCGGAAAATTCTGGTCACGTTTACAGATAGTGACAGTATCAGAATATCTTCACAGATAACGGAGGTAAGTATTCGCCCGAACGCTGACTTTACCTATACCTCGACTGTTTCCGTAAATGGGGCTAATGGCTTTATCTGCTTCAACTTATCTGTGCCCGTTACAACTTTGACCTTAGGGACACGCGTCCATCTACTTGCAAGGGCCATGTATAAGGCTATAAATATACAAGCATCACCTTTGAGATGACACATGAACAGTCAATAGTACTTGCATAGATGCTAAATTAATTATCCTATTTCGGCAACTCGTTTTACACCATGTGCGATGTATATTCTAACTTTATGATGTACTTTATGCATTAAATAAAGATTAGAAATATTATGTCAACTATAATTGTTAAAGTTGTTTGGCAAGTCGTTATGCACATCTGTGTGTGTGTGTGTGTGTGTGTGTGTGTGTGTGTGTGTGTGTGTGCGTGTGTGTGTGTGTGTGTGCGTGCGTGCGCGCGTGTGTGTGTGTGTGTGTGTGTGTGTTTCAACATCAACAAGTACCGCGCGTAAGATCAAACATATGATTAATTTGAAGAAACTATTCATATCTATTGTTAGACCATCCACATGGTGTAAAGGATAGAGCGCTTGTCCGTTAGAGGTTCGATCCCATGGCCACGTCAAACCAAAAGACGTTAAAAGATTATGCTAGCTGTTACCCAGTCTGGCGTTCGGCCTCAAGGGGATAAAACAGGGACTGGTCGTCGACTCGTGGTCCGTGTACTGTGTCTGAGTGGGGTATTCATGCGGCATGGTGAGATGTGCATGAGAAGAAACATGCCTATCCTGACGAGTGATAAGGTAGATCATTGTCACCCCTCAACGTTATGTACAGTGGGAAATGCAAGACTGACAGCAGACTGCTCGACACTCATCAACATTTGTTCAAGTCTCTCATTTCCTGCAAATGTTTGGCTACCAAACCATATTTTCGAACCATTATTTAAGAAAATATGTTTGTTTTCATTTATCTCTGAATAGAATAACAGTTTATTTAGTGTGTGTGTTGGGTTGTATTGGTGATATACCTCACTGTTCATAGAAAAGATTGCAGATTTAAATGAAATCTGGGGATACATGGATTATTGAACTACTTGTTATAAGAAATCAGAAGTTTATTAACTTCTGTATTACATATAATATGTATCCATAAATATCGCCTTATCTTATCTTATACATGAACTGATGAAGGGAAGATAGCGGTACGGCTGGCAACTGTGACAGTAAACTAGACTCTAGTCGTGTGTCTAAATTGTCTTAGGAATATATAACGTCAACGTTAGAGAATATCAGTCTCGAATTATCTGTTGAAATTGATTATGGGCGTACAAGACAAAAGAAATAATGAAAATTATATGAATGGATCACTGAAAATGTCTATGCTAAATTCTATAAATTGTTAACTCCTAACTGATATTTTTGTTTCTTTTACCTTCCATACCTGTTACTGTGACAGATTGTGGTTTTGCCGGGAGGATTACATCAAGATAACGGAGTTAGAGTTAACGAGACATCAATGTATTTGGGGAACTAGGCCGGTGTCATCAGTCAGTAGTTAGAATGGTTCTATTTTGGCATGCATTTTAATATCTTTCGTTACATTCAAATGGTTAAATTTCATTGTCGATATACTCGATAAAAAGAGATTAAACCTCAGAATGAATATGACGTTGCTTGATGGCGCAAATTTGATGGGTCACGAAAAATGTGCAATCCGTGTAGAAACGAACACAATCCTAACCCTAGAATGTCCATCATTATCACTTGTAAGAAAACACATGCCTAATGATTACACAACCCAATGTATTTTCCCGATTTAACTGCCTTTGTATCTTCACCATCGAACAACAACTATGGTTTCCATGGACGTTTTTAAGTATCTTATTACTCTCAACAAACAATAACTGCTGGAGTGCCACATGGGTCTGTCTTGGGACCGTGTCTATTTCTGATGTTTGTTGGTTTGTTGTTTAACGCCGCACTCAGCAATATTACAGCTTTATGACGGCGGTCTGTAAATAATCGAGTCTGGGCCAGACAATCCAGTAATTAATATCATGAGCATCAACCCACGCAATTGGGATTGATGACATGCATCAACCAAGTCAGCGAGCATGACCACCCGATCCCGTTAGTCGCCTTTTACGACAAGCATAGTCGCCTTTTACAGCAAGCATGGGTTGCTGAAGACCCATTCTGATGTACATTAATGAATTAGCTAATACCCTGTCAACTATAATTAGTCATTTTGCTAAAGATACATATGTAAGTGTTGCTGCGTCAAGTGAAGAAGTTATAGATGAAGAACATAAATATGATTTAGCTAAGCTCGAAGACTGGACACAGGAATGGCTAGTAAACTTCAGTACATGGTATTTAGTCATCGTAACTTAGCCTAGATACCTGATTTGATTTTAAATAATCAACACTTAGAGCAGGTAACTACTCCTAAACACCTTAGTGTAATATTATCCGATAACATGAAATGGACAAGTCATGTACCATAATAAACATCTAGCGTTTTCCATGAGAATGCTTAAGTATGTACTTCCTAGAAATGTCTTGTTGAACATATACCAGAGGTATTTACATGTTCTTGCTAATGTAGAATACGCATCGGAAGATAAACTACTGGGCAAAAGAAAATATGGGATTTCACCAAAACATTACCAGCGTTGTCAAACGTTACTAGACTGAAAACAGTTGCCAAAAACACTGCAACGTAAGAGCTAAAACACAGCTCTGATACCCGTATTACATACATCAGCATCAAATAACCATTTCTTGTTTGTTTCAGTTTTTGCCCCCATCAAACACATCAAAATACTTTCTCTTGCCCAACGGTTTAGTTGATCTGTAGAACTGGCACAGTTACAAGAAGCAAGTATCTCCTACGTAGGACTTACTATCTCCTACGTAGGAAGTACTATCTCCTACGTAGGACCTAGTATGGCCTACGTAGGACCTAGTATGGCCTACGTAGGACTTACTATCACCTACGTAGGACTTACTATCTCCTACGTAGGACTTACTTTCTCCTACGCTGGACTTAGTATGGCCTAGAAGTACTATCTCCTACGTAGGACTAAATATCTCTTACGTAGGATTAAGTATCTCCTACGTAGGACTTACTAGCTCCTACGTAGGACTTACTAGCTCCTGCGTAGGACTTACTATTTCCTACGTAGGACTTAGTATGTCCTACGTATGACAGTATGGACTAGAATCGCTATCTCCTACGTAGGACTTAGTATCTCCTACGTAGGAGATACAAAGACCTACGTAGGAAATACTAAGTCCTACGTAGGAGATAGTGATTCTAGGCCATACTAAGTCCTACGTAAGAGATAGTAAGTCCTACGTAGGAGATAGTAAGTCCTACGTAGTAGATCGCGATTCTAGGCCATACTAAGTCCTACGTAAGAGAAAGTAAGTCCTACGTAGGAGATACTAAGTCCTACGTAAGAGATATTAAGTCCTACGTAGGAGATAGTAAGTCCTACGTAAGAGATATTAAGTCCTACGTAGGAGATAGTAAGTCCTACGTAGGAGATACTAAGTCCTACGTAGGAGATCGCGATTCTAGGCCATACTAAGTCCTACGTAAGAGGTAGTAAGTCCTACGTAGGAGATACTAAGTCCTACGTAGGAGATAATAAGTCCTACGTAGAAGATACTTAGACAAAAAAGATTCACCGTGGCCCTACTACGCTTCCGTAGATTATAACCTACAAAACAAGTTTAATCTTTCCTGTAACTCCATTTAAAAAAAATGTCAATAAGTTATGTTTATCAACTACCAACACCATTCGACTTGAAAGTACTTTAAATATTAGACACGCAATGCGCATGTCCTAAAAAACGTAAAACTATGGTAACATAGCCAATCTGTGTTTGTTTGTATGTGTATGATATATAACAAATTGTTTTCACATGATACCTTGTGACAACGAGAAATAATTATATGTCTAGAATAATTAAGGATAATTGACGATAAAATGACAAAAAAGTAATAAGTACATCTATTATCAAACTAACACGTCAACACGAATGTCCTTTCTGCAGAGTACACCGGGGTTATAACTACTACTTACGAATATTGTGTAAAAGCACCCCAGTGACTCTTACAAAAGACAATAACGTAAGCCTTATTTGGGGATTAAGCAGCGCTCGGACTTTTCGATCGATGGCTACCTTTGATAACAGCGTGGTAAGACACACACAGGGCGTGTAAGTAGTTCGGGAATGTTCGCAGTATTAGATTACAAGCGCTCTTCATGGTTGGCCACAAGAGCACATTATCTGGTTATAATTTATCTGATCTGTTATTATGTATGTCCTATATAGATATATCAGATAATATATTGGTCGACTTTCTGGCTTACTGTCGTGTTTCAGCAAATAATATATATTTAGGTTTCTTTTCATGATCATGAAATGTTTTGGCTCGACTACACTGGTAGAAGTTATATTTTTAATTTGACAACGTTTCCTCGTTTTTTTAGAGGGTATTGAAATGTGTAGATAGTTATAAGATATGTGCCTTTGCACAATACTAAACTGTGCAAGGGAGGCAAATGGTGTCAAGACAGAATTTTTTTTAGCAAACTGGCAAGGGAGGTAACTCCTTGATACTATATCCAAAATGGCGGATGATGGAGAAATTGACATCGAAGGGGAGTTTGATTTTAAACTGGAGTAAGTTAAGATCATGGGGAATTGAGTTGAACAAACAGATATATGGCTCGTGAAAATGTGATATGCTGTAAGATTGGATAAAATCATATGTACAATTTCTGAATAAATCACATGTCAAATTTAGAACAAATATTTTAAATCAACAAATCATGCAGATAAAAGACAGATGTATTTTTAAGGTTTTCACTTGTAGTGCATCACTGTACATGAATATTGAGGCCGACCCCTTATGATCATTTAGATCTACGTAGAGTTATATGTCCCATCGTCTTTAACAGTTAGAATACAGAACAAGTGTACATGACATGTTTGAGCAATGTTCAGTGACAATCGTGATACTCGGTTCCCCGGGTCTATTACCAGAATTACATGACAATGACAAGACATTAACGTTTTTGTTACTGGGCATTGAAGTTACATGTGAAACTACTGTGTGACATTTATCTTATTTCAAATCTTGTTTGTACCGGATGGAGATCTTTGATGTCACATTTCAGGACTCAGTTTGATCAATAGGCCTATACCATAAAGATATTGTTTTCAAATTTCAAGGATTTATCTATGATTCTTTACTAAGTGCCCTGGCATGCAATATCGGAATTTTTGGGTTAAAATTGGGGATTTTATATTAGTCCATATATTCTTGAAATCATGAGGGGTGCACAATAAAACACTGCAGGGAGAATAAACCTTTGGGGGTGAAGATATGAGATATCAACATTTGTATTGCCTCTTCAAGGATGTTAATAAAATGTACAAGCTTTAAAAATGTTTACCTTTATTTAAAAAATAATGACTCCCTGAATACAATCCAACCTTGGCAATGTTGGACAAGTCCATTTCATGAACAGGGAGGTTACCTTTAGGTATTTCCCAGATAATCTCATAGTTTTAACATGTTTAACGTAGATTATCTGTTCCTTTTCTCCCAATACCAATTATCATATTTCTCCCACTTTTGAATGTGATTGTTTATCTTTATGTTTATCTGCGTGGGCAGCTACATTTATGGGGAACAACACGCTCGATTCTTACCTCTCATAAATAGTGTCATCCAATTTACAACGTCATCAAGTTGCGAGTGCATGTTCGAATCTCCAGAAATTATGTCATGATAGTACAATGTTTTATCGTGAAATAAACCATGCTTCGTTCTTCATTGTTCTTTGGGGGCAGTGGAATAGCCTAGAGGTTAAAACGTTCGCTCGTCATGCCTAAGACCGGGGTTCGATTCCCCACATGGGTACAACATTGTACAATGTGTGAAGCCCATTTCTGCTGTCTCCGCCTTGATCTTGCTGGAATATTGCTAAAAGCAGCATAAAACCATATTCAATCCCTCATTGTTCTTTGCAATTTATTGTGTAGCTGTCTTATATAAATGAATACCCAAGTTACTACTATAAAGCCATATAATTAGTTATTATGTATGTTAATGCATTGTAACTTGAATTCAGAAATGTTTACGGTAGTTGCAAATTGGGAATTGTTTTTGACATTTGCTGCAGACTTGGGGCCGATTATCGGCCTCTGAGCAGGTCCAGATAATTCCTTGAATTTGTTTAAGATTTTGAAGCATAGCCTATGAAAAGTCATAATGCCAATGGTGTCCAACAAATTCTCTGCAAATTGACAGCCTTATATTTCTTGACATTTTCATGATCATGATTATTTTAATCATTATTTGATGAAGAAATAATCATGATCATACATCATTGCAAAATTAATGTTTCTTTGTTATTCACTGTTTCAAATCGAGGCTAAATATAGAATTCCTGCTGACATGTCTGAGGCTGAAACACTTCAATATTTACGCCATGAGTTGAAAAATTGTGAACTGGTTACCTGTCTTACTGAAACTGTTTATATGATTAACTGTTTTGAACTTTTCATTACATTAAAAATATTCCATACATCTGCTGTGCAAGATACAACAATTCACTCCACAGTAATTCCTGGTTGACAGTCATTGTTTTATTTCCTGTTTCACATTGTCCTATTTTGAATCAGATCGACACATTTGAAAGACACTCGTGAATGTAAATGCTTGTCTTTCTGATTCTAGGAAATGTGTGCCTTTTTTTTAAAGTCTGACCTTTTTAACTTCAATATACAACCTTGTGAAAGAGTGCTGCCTTGCTTTGTGTCATTGATTGACTGTTGTGACAATATCACTAGTGATCATGTTGATAGTTTTATAAATGTAACCTAATAATATTACACTTGGAAAGTGAATACTGATTTGCACATTTTTGTGCCAGTTATTAAGGGATGCAGGGTATAACCCCCTGTTTTGAAGCATCATGTTCATGAATATAACAATGTATGTCTAAATAATTTGGTGACAAAAATAGCAATTGACTAATTTATGGCTAACAAACAAATTATGGGCTAGCATTTGTATTGTAAGTGCACCTTTTTTTCCCCAAATGTGCTTCTCCCCTTTGCCAAAGATTATATGCGTGCTTGTGAATATTGAGATCTACAAAATGATGAATGTGTGTGCACAATCACTACTATCATCAATGTGATGTCAGTTCACACTGGACCCACACTCAGCATGCTCAGTGTATTTCTTTTCTCTCAGCATCAACATAAAGTACTAAAAAGCGTTTTTTCTACCCAAATTTTCGAATATTTTGACAGCATTTTGGACTTGACTCCATCTTAATATAGCAGTATTATTTTTCTGTTGTGACATATGCTATTCAATCACGTCATAGTTTATATAATAATATAATATTGAATAATTATTCCTAGACTCCACTTAGTGATTTGATAGAAACTCTATTTACATTGAAAAGGAGCCCATGTGATATTGAACATTCAGATGCCTGAACCTGAGAAAATCTAGACTTGCTTCATTTGGAGGCATTGCATTACAGTTAGGTCTTGGCAGAATGGAAAATGATATGGTTTTGGGACTGTGAGACAGACTAGTACACTGGAGTCAGAGAGAATGCATCTTCAGTTATCAGTGATAATGTCACCATGGTCATTGCGATGTGATATGTTACATTTGTCGACCAACTGTCGACCAGTGCCATATGGTTTTCTTGGAATAGTAAGATTCTGTAAGCGTGATCAATGATGATAGTAGTTCTACAACACAAGGTTGTTTTTAAAAAAAATATTCTTGTAAGATTGGTTGTTGAGATACTATTATTGGAAACAGCCTGGTAGATCAATGGATTGCTTTGAATAGGTTGACCATTGTTTCAGAGTTGAAGATGGATTCTATGATGCCAATGAACTGCCCTCAAAGAGTGCAAACCTACTTCCTGAGTTTACCAACCCTCCATGGATGCTTGAACAGGTAAAAGATAGTCTTTGTCATACAATTACATCAGGCTGTATTTTGTTTCATTCTGTTACCATGGTTACTACCAGGGGTGAAATGATGCAACAAAGTCACAATACTATACGTATCACGATACATAGGTCATGTTATGATACATATCGCAATACTTCTTGACTATAAATATTTCAGAGCAAGTTCTAAAGGAAAAGCTAGCTGTAGACTCATGGTCGTATTTGCTAATTTTAGTGGTGAACTTGGAATGCTGATTACAACACATTTTGCGAATTTTACTGACTAAATTGTTTGCTGGGGTGGGGGGTTAATCAATTTACGATGCACTGTTGCACCAATGTATCGTTTCACCCCTAGCTGCTACAACTTTGATAAATTTGTTTTTATCTTTTTCAATCTTTTTCATATCAAGTGTTGTCATGTTCATTGCAGATTTTCAAAGTAACATTTCCCTGAAACCAGTAATTTTTACATTTGGTATATGTGGGGAAGTTCTTACCGTGCATCTAGTAGATATGCTATTCTTTAATTGAAAACTGGTTGTATGTCTTGAGCTCAGACTCCATATGTGTCAAAGAAATTCAAGCTAAGACCCCAGTCAGAGTTGCTAAACAAATGCTAAAGAGTCTAAAGAAATATGTAATAATTCCAATGACTTTATAAGAAATTATCAGTACAATAAATAATGCTCTCCATTAAGTGGTTCCATAGCCATGAAGAGAACCTTGTAGACATCATTTGATGCTTACATCTACTGTTCATTATGCCAAACGTGTAACCATGGTAACTGATTAATCCACAAGGGGAAACTTACACATACGTTTTTCATTGACTTTAGCAAAAACTATTTTCATCTCTATTTGGAGTTCTATCTCTAAAAGATGACCTGCTTAACATTGCTTGAAAATGTTAAAGAGATTTAAGAGTATTTTGGGACCCCTTTCATCTAATTATCTATCCACATCTATTATCTAAAACTGGCTCTCCCAGGTGATATCGCTTGGGTGAGATCAACTCCAGCGACATTACATTACAATGCTTTGTAGGCCTTTGTGACATCATTGGTTCCCATGAGGTGGGTGAAATGGGGTTTAAATAGATAGCGACATGCATGTGTGTGTGTATGTGTGTATTTGTACTAGTCAGACTGATGCTGATTTATAGAGCTAGCACACTGAGATGCCATGCCGCAGTTTAACATGAATACCCCACTCAGACACAGTATACTGACTCCAAGCCAACCAGTCCTTGTTTTAGCCCCTTAAGGGGCGGTCGGGTAGCCTAGTGGTGAAAACGTTCGCTCGTCACGCCGAAGACCCAGGTTCGACTCCCGACATGGGTACAATGTGTGAAGCTGGTGTCCCCCGCTGTGATATTGCTGGAATATTGCTAAAAGCGGCGTAAACCCATACTCACTCACTTTATCCCCTTAATGCCGAGCGTCAGACAGGGTAACAACAAGTACCATCTTTTTAACATCTTTTGGCATGACGCAGCCAGGGTTTGAACCCTGAACCTTCCGTTCTCTGGGTGGATGCTCTACCACCAGACCATGGAGTGGTTCCCATGACTTCACAATAAAATGGCATCACTAATCTCTTTGCCACTGTACTCTAGCTTTTGAACTTAAGACCCAAAAGGCTTACTGACATATACTTCAAGCGAGGCCACTATTGTTTGTTGTGATGGACAAATTAATGGAATTTCTCTTTCAGTATGAAATTTGGCTTGGGTAATGTCCTTTTAAAATAATAAGATGCAGACACCACTTTTGATATAATATCTAAATGTAAAACACCACAAATATTTTGCATGTAACAATTTGCACGCGCCAGATTAATTTAAATTTGAAATGTTTGTCTTGCTCAAACATGCAGTGTGTAATTTTCTGTCTCTTTATGTGCAAGGGATGGACAATGGACAGCTACATGGATGAAAAATCAAAGGCCACCATAGAAAGAATGCTGATGGAAGAACAGTATCCTAATATGTACATTCAAGTGATAAGTGTCCTACGCAAAAGTGCTGACCCAAACATCCTGTGAAGATCAGGGTTCGAATTGATCTTCAGCAACCCATGCTTGTTGGAAGGGGTGACTAACAGGATCGAGTGGTTAGTCTTGCTGACTTGGTTGATGCATGTCATCTTTGGATTGTCTGGACCAGACCTGATCTATATAGATCGCCTTCACATAGCTGTAATATTGCTGAGTGCGACTTTAAGCATTAGAAAAGAAGCAAACAAACAACAGTAGAAATTGGCTACAATGGACATAAAAATTGTTGCAAATGAAAAGCTCCACTGTCCATATATTTTTATTGTTTGTTTGTTGTTATCAGTTGAACAGAGCCTCACTCTGAGGCTTTAATTCTCTGTCAAGTTTTCCTTGACCACTTCTCAAGACAATACCTCAATGGCCGATCCAAGACAAAGATGGTATCATCTGACAAGTCTCCGTCTTCCAGTCCGACAAAGCCCAAGTCGAACTCTGCCAAACGTCCCTGGAACGAGGAAGAGAAACAGCTTTTTCTCAGTGGGCTGGTAATGATTTGTGTCTTACTTATATAGAGTGTTTGCAGGCATTTCCCCCTACCCTTTACTTCTTGCATATAGGCCCTTCCCCCTACCCTTTACTTCTTGCATATAGGCCTTTCCCCCTACCCTTTACTTCTTGCATATAGGCCTTTCCCCCAACCCTTTATGTCTTGCATATAGGCCTTCCCCCAACCCTTTATGTCTTGCATATAGGCCTTTCCCCTACCCTTTATGTCTTGCATATAGGCCTTTCCCCAACCCTTTACTTCTTGCATATAGGCCTTTCCCCAACCCATTATGTCTTGCATATAGGCCTTCCCCCAACCCTTTATGTCTTGCATATAGGCCTTTCCCCAACCCTTTATGTCTTGCATATAGGCCTTCCCCCAACCCTTTATGTCTTGCATATAGGCCTTTCCCCCTACCCTTTATGTCTTGCATATAGGCCTTCCCCCAACCCTTTATGTCTTGCATATAGGCCTTTCCCCCTACCCTTTATGTCTTGCATATAGGCCTTCCCCCAACCCTTTATGTCTTGTATATAGGCCTTTCCCCCTACCCTTTATGTCTTGCATATAGGCCTTCCCCCAACCCTTTATGTCTTGTATATAGGCCTTCCCCCAACCCTTTATGTCTTGCTTATAAACCTCCTGTGATGTCATCCCATTGTTCTCCAGTAGGATTAAATCTCATAAACAGGGATGTTATCATGGTTGTGATATCCCTGGGATTTTATATAATATCATTGGGATTTTATTAATACAACTTCTGTTCAAATGTAACATATGAATCTTTCTCGCAAGAATATTTTTTTGGCCTTTGAACAATTCCTGAGGATCGACCCCGCAACCCTCATAGCTGTAGCCCGGTTAGTCTTCCATTAGGCTATAGAGGTGCTGATCACAATCCTCTTAAGAATGTCTTTTTCAAGTACTGTACACCAGCAACAGATATTTTACATCCATTTCCTGCGGTTCATGGAAAGTATGTTTGAAACATACAAATGTTGATAAATGTTGTTTTAAGTTTCTTTTTTTCATTTATAAGTTAGGTAAAACACTTCGCCTTTGTGTTTTTATGATATTTAAAACCCTTATCCTTGGGATAAAACATAGGGGCTGACGCCATTAGGTTCAATCCTGTGGATGCGGGTTTTAAATAACATAAAAACCCTCGGACATGCTTTATCCTACACATATATATACTGTGTATGCAGGCCTTTCCCCTACCTTTTATATCTTTCAAATATACTGTGTATGAAGGCCTTTCCCCTACCTTTTATATCTTTCATATATACTGTGTATGAAGGCCTTTCCCCTACCCTTTATATCTTTCATATATACTGTGTATGCAGGCCTTTCCCCCACCTTTTATATCTTTCATATATACTGTGTATGAAGGCCTTTTCCCTACCCTTTATATCTTTCATATATACTGTGTATGCAGGCCTTCCCCTACCCTTTATATCTTTCATATATACTGTGTATGAGGGCCTTTCCCCTACCCTTTATATCTTTCATATATACTGTGTATGAAGGCCTTTTCCCTACCCTTTATATCTTTCATATATACTGTGTATGCAGGCCTTCCCCTACCCTTTATATCTTTCATATATACTGTGTATGAGGGCCTTTCCCCTACCCTTTATATCTTTCATATATACTGTGTATGAAGGCCTTTCCCCTACCCTTTATATCTTTCATATATACTGTGTATGCAGGCCTTTCCCCTACCCTTTATATCTTTCATATATACTGTGTATGCAGGCCTTTCCCCCTACCCTTTATATCTTTCATATATACCATGTATACTGTGTATGCAGGCCTTTCCCCCTACCTTTTATATCTTTCATATATACTGTGTATGCAGGCCTTTCCCCTGCCCTTTATATCTTTCATATATACTGTGTATGCAGGCCTTTCCCCTACCCTTTATATCTTTCATATATGCTGTTTATGCAGGACTTTTTTCCTACCCTTCATGTCTTGGATATATACTGTGTATGCAGGCCTTTCCCCTACCCTTATGTTAAACCCAACCAACCGTCTGCCTAGATAAAACGTGTGCACTCTAACTCAATGTTTTCCAGGATTTGTATGGTAGAAGTTGGACCCGCATCTCTGAAATCATTCCCACCCGGACAAGCCTGCAAGTGAAGAACTATGCCCAGCAATACTTCAAGAATCTGGTATGTTGCAGAAGTGTCATCAGCTGATACTGATTCAATCTGATTCTTAGCAAGACAAAAGCATATTTGGGCAAGAAAGTGACAACAATTGGGCAACATATCCCACTATATTACCTACGAGGGCAAACATATCGGGGTTCATAAAAATCAAACATGCCCTAGGGTCATATCACGTCACGAGACAACAGTGTATTGTTTCCATCATCTGAACGGCATTGTTGACAGTTGTGCCTAAATTCCGCTGGGGAAACACCGGAATTAAGACACTCGTGTCGCAGACATAGCATGACATGAAGCTCTTGATGTACAGTGCAGTCTGTCTTTTCTTTGTGTTCACTACTGGATTGGTGATTGTTCACCTTATAACTTATATTTGTTCTATGTCTGCATTTTGCTACTATCATCATGATTATCAGTATTCAATGTAAATTATCAACTCTTTTGATCGAGTTACCAAGTGATGTAACTCCTGCTACAATCTGTCAAATGAGGGATGCTACATTGTGTAGACTTTACCATAGTGCAAGTTTTTCTAAGAATTTTTGGGGATTTCACTGTTTGAGTAATATTTACACATTGTACCTACACATCTTTGTATGAATGAATGAGTGAGTGAGTGAGTGAGTGAGTTTGGTTTAATGCCGCTTTTAACAGTATTCCAGTTATATCGCGGCGTGTCAGCTTAAAGTGGGAGGAAAGCCCGAAGTGATGCAAGTCTAAGATGTTTACCACTTGGTGAAACCCATAAGCACGGTTATGGTGCTGACAAACCTAGAAACATAATCGGGGCAATCCGGGATTCGAACCCACAATCATAGGTTTCTGGCATGCCCAAGGGACGCAACTCTGCACAGTGAATCGCGGCGCCTTTGACAACTGGGCTCCCCGTGCCCCCTGTATGAATGAGTACAATGTTGTACATTAGTGAAACCCATGTACCTTATATGCTGCTTGAAACGGGCAGAGTGTAATAATGTGCTACTACTATCATAGCTACAGATACACTGTGTATTTGCGTAAAATACCCCCTAAAACTATTCAAAACCCATTTACTTTCAACTAACATGCGTACAGAAACGCATGCATTAAATGAAAAACTCAATTGTATGAAACCAGCACACGTAAATACCCAATGAAGCTTTTTCAACATGGGTACAACGGAACTTATTTCCGAAACACAATTACGAGTTATTTTACCTTCTTAGTCAAGCCTATTTTTAGAACCATTATATACATTGTACATCTAAAACATTATTTCATTTTTTTTTAAATCTCAAAATGTTTACTCATTTTGGGAAAAACCCAATGGAGTGATGAATAGATGAGTGAACAAATATTTGTTAACCAAATGAAAAGTGTAATAACCCAATTAAGATAGAAACCTTTGAGTAAAACTCAATTGCTCAAAAAGTTATCTGGAGCTCTGTACTATCATAAGTCTGTGTTAAAGAAAAGAGGTAAATCACCTTAGCACTATAATCGCTTTGTTGAACAGACCCCTGCACAGCTACCACCTCAAGTACTTATTTAATTCCAGGAACCTGTGTGGTGATGCATTATTGACTCCCTGTGGGGATTCCTAGACAGAGCAGTTCCTCAGTACCTCCTGTATGTTGTAGGGGGAACTCAGACAGGGATCTGATGTAAAGCTCTTGTTTGTCTGATGTGGACTCACTTATGTCCAGGATGACAAGATATAGCTGTAGTACTGCTGATTGTGACATAAAACAACAGTCACCCTCTCATAACAGTGTTCCTGCTGGCTTTTGAAACTGCCAGTCCTGGTTGACTGGCAACAAATCAAAAACTGTATGAAAGTTACCTGGATTTAATTCTTTCAACATCATGTTTAATGCCATGACATCATATCTGAAGTAACCCAATTAGATCTACACGTCATTCAAACAAAGTTCAGTAACAATTTTCTCTCTTTTTTTATATATTTCGTGTGTAAGTCGCTAGAAATGCAGATTTAATTTCAAAGCAAAGTGAATTTTATTTCCTTGCACTAAAAATAGAAAGTGGAAACCCTGATGGAGAGACAAGCTGACTTAGTTAAAAAATATACTTATATGAATATCGCCTCTGATTTGTTCAACAGCAAAGATTTATGGGGTACTTTATTTGCCTGTCCACAGGGACTGGCAGTCACATGAATTACCAGTCCAAACCTAATTTTACCGGTAAAAGACTGGTAATTACTGGTAAACGGGAACACTGCATAAATGCTATGTCTTATTCTACTGACTCTGCATGTGTTTCTAGGCCAAGAAGGCTGAAGCTGCCTCTGCAGTTGTGTCCTCTACGTCTCGAGATCTGCCCCTTGGCTCAACACAACTGGCCTCCCACCTCAGCCAGTCAGCTGACCCACTGGCTAATGTCCTTGCTTCCGTCACAACTGCCCAGCCCACAGTCACATCCCTTTCCAGTTCACCCAGTCAGAGCAGAAAGACCTCAGTGTCCAAGCAGTCCAAAAACAAGAAGAAAAACCACAATACAACAAAAGCAGACTCCCAAATAGAATCAGTACAAAGCATTACCAATGGTCTGGATGGTGTTTTACCATCTGCAAATACAATCATTGGTATTTCTGGGCTACAGGACCTTCAATGTGGTTCCTATACCGGGAATGTGGACACAAGTGAATTGTCTCCCAGTGTGAATCTGTCTGGGGTAGGGTTCTTGTCTGGGAGTAAGGAATTAGGTTTTGACAGCTCGGTCGGGACGCTGATCCACATTGCTTCCGGACTGGACACTTTGGCTGCTGTTGTTGAGAGTGACTTTAGTGCTAGTGATCTCCAGACTCTAACAACAGTCACAGCCGATGGATCAGAGGTCGTTCAGTCCGACATTCTTGCTTCCGTAGTGCAACACTCTGAAGGGAAAGATGAAGCTTTACAGAAAGAAACTGGCACTTCCTCCGACGAAATTGGGAACTTGAGTTCCAATTCAGTTGAAGAGGAGGAGGATGTGGATATCGATATTGAAAATGATGATGACGATAACGACAACCCAATACTGTTAGGAAGGTCCATTTCACCTAGCTCTGTGTATGAGAAGTTGTTACGATCAGCCAATGTTACACCGACTGAGCTGGGTGATGGTGAACAGTCTGATGAAGGAGATACTGATGCTGACGTTGCAGCAGCTGACACAGACAGTGCTACTCAGGGGAGATCTGAAAACTTAGAAGGTGCTATGGATGAGAATGTCACGGAACTTTTTACTGATAGTAAGCAAGAAACCAAAGCCAATGCTAATACAACAGGAGAATTTACTCAGCCTGAACCGCCCACCGAATGTTGTGACAGCAGTGAAGAAATGACTGTTCTACAGGATGTGCCAAAGCTTGAGGAGAAAGTTATAGGTATGTGGAATGTAGAATTAACTGTCTTCGTCATCATGATAATAACATGCTTACATTTTGTTATCTTTTACCAGTGAAGTCATGTTTTACCGTAAGCTGTTCAATGATCAGTATTATCATAGGATTGATCATAATGAAGCAGGGAAAATTTTGTTTTATTTTTAAATTTTTAAATTTTTTTTTTAATTCAACGTGTTCAATTCAGTTTATGATATTACAGAGTAGAACATTGAGTAGCACGTCATGTGGTATACTTATTAGGTGGAGGTAACATACCTATACAGCAGACAACAAAATTTAAGTTGGCTACAGGTGTCCAACAATGTTTACAATGAAACGGGCAGGCTACATTTGCCATGTTTATTAACTAAGTGTGAAGCTAAATCCTGACAGCACATTAGTGGAAATTGTTTATGTTAAAAAAACACCAAAAGAAACAAATAGCGACACATTAAGTAGGCAATTCATTTGCCAAAGTTTTCCATTCTCTGTCAAACTGTCTTATTGTATTGTGTTTGTGTGCAATTGATTTTTCTATCCAAGATATATCAATTAAAGTCTTCAGAAACTTTTCAAGTGACAATTTGTTTTTCTTAATACTTGGTACATGTATATATTTTTTGGATGTCTTTATTTATCTTGTTCATACACCTCTACGGTCAGCTGCCGATGTCCACCGATTTCAATTTCACACATTCTACTTTAGCATGTATCAGGTGTATACTGAGAGAGATAAACACCCATTTACCATGTCCATGATGTTTACTTTGAAATCTCATTGAATAGTTTCTTTGAATTATATTTTACATAACTAGAGTTATTTATTTATGTAAATGATTTGAAAATAAGGCAAAGGTGATGAAAAATATGCATCTTTTCGAAATGTGCGTTTGTTTACATCTTTAAATATGTCTAGTTTGTTTAATACCATGGTTGAATGTGTCTCAGTATGCCAACTAAAGGGTCATACTCATTTATATTGACATATAGGGCAGTCTGTTTCAACATGTGTCAATACATGTCTCCTGTTCAAACAAGGGGAGGTAATCTGTCTTGGCTTCCTTTCTGTCCTCGCCACAAAATGCAAATAATAGTTTAGCACATCTGATAAAAAAAAGTATGTCATTATGCTTGATCAAACAAGACACTGGTCATGAGATGGTTATGACTAGGATGAATGTTAATTTGATCATAATTCATAATTTCAATACATTTTTATTTGTCATCTTAAACAAATGTTAAAATGTGTAGGCTGCTCTCGGAGCCGTCGGGTAGCCTAGTGGTTAAAGCGTTCGCTCGTCACGCCGAAGACCCGGGTTCGATTCCTGACATGGGTACAATGTGTGAAGCCCATTTCTGGTGTCCCCCGCCGTGATATTGCTGGAATATTGCTAAAAGCGGCGTAAAACCATACTCACTCACTCACTCACTCACTCACTCACTCACTCACTCACTCACTCACTCACTCACTCACTCACTCACTCACTCACTCACTCACTCACTGTAGGCTGCTCCTCCATGTCTGCAGCACCAAGTTTCCAATTTCCAAAGTTCTGAGAACAAACATTGTTTTTGTTTCAATTTGATTGTTATTATTATTGTGATCTGTCTGTTGACTGACCAGGCAGAAGTTGAGTCATGTTATCATGGTTATGGTGGACATGGCTGTGACCCTGACAGTGACCACTGGTTATTTATTTCAGTCAATGGTATCACAACATCGGCAGGAGAAGTGATAGAATTTCCAATCCCGGAGGAGGAAAGGATCATGGAAGCTGATGACATCACAGAGGAGGAGAGGAAGATTCACTCTGAATTCTTTGATGGTCGACAATCTAAAACTCCTGAGAGATACTTGAAGATTAGGAACCATATTATTGATTGCTGGTAAATAACTGAGATGGTTGTGACTTATTAACAATGAAATTAGTTCAACCAGATAAGCAGATAAGTGGGCCGTTTTTATGGGTTTTGCTATATGTTATCATTATAAGGGTTAGGGGGCTAGAACTGTTAGTTTCTAACGCGGGCCCCCTGCTGGGCCCGGTTCCACGTAGTGATCTTAGCCCTATGATGTTCGTAACTCCCATACTTTAACATAGGCTTACAACAATGCTAGAGCTATGGATTCTGGGTTCCTGGAGGTTTGCTCATACAGTATTGGAATCTAGGCACCCTAATCTTTAACTATCAAGTAGGGTTATGACAAGGACGCAATGATATTGATGCTTATTTTGAAACACTGTGGGGACATGGGTGTCCCAGTCATCAACAGTGCCTCAATTTACTTTGCAGAGTTGCATCCCTTGGGCATGCCAGAAACCTATAATAGTGGGTTTTAATCCAGTTCACCCTGATTATGTTTCTAGGTTTGTCAGCATCGTACTTGTGATTGTGGATTTCACTGAAGTGGTACTCCTCTGAGACCTGCATCACTTCGGGTTTTCCTCACTGATTAAGCTGTCTCGTCATGATATATCTGGAATACTGTTAAAAACGGCATTAAACATGTTGAACCCAACTCACTCGCTTACTCCAACACTCACTCAAACACTCGCTGAAACGCTGTGTACCATGTATATGTTGATACTGAAGTAATATGTGTTAAATTGGATTTCTAATTGATGTGTACTCAATGTTGTGAATGAACCAAAAAATAGGAATGATTTGTGATTAAGATATTTTTGGTTCATGACGTAGGATAAAAGCCTATGGAACATAAGGGTGAGTGAGTGAGTGAGTGAGTGAGTGAATATGGTTTTACACCGCTTTTAGCAATATTCCTGCAATATCACAGCGGGGGACACCAGAAATGGGCTTCACACCTTGTACCCATGTCAGGAATCGAACCTAGGTCTTTGGCGTGATGAGCGAAAGCTTTAACCACTAGGCTACCCGACCGAACATAAAGGGCCACAATAAGTATGATAGGATTAGACAAGCATTTTAGACAATGATAGACACACATGCTAGATCACGAGACATTAGACTTCATTTAGTATACATGTGATGTATAATAATTCTTGGGGAATGGGTGATCCAGTTGTCGAAGTCCTCGCAATTCGCAGTGAAGATTTACATGAATGGGCATGCATGAAACCCATGATAATGGGTTGAATTCAAGGTTTAACCTGATGATGTTTTCCAGTATCATACCCTTGCTAGTGGGTTACACCAAAGTGGTAAACGTCCAAGACCTGCATCACTTTTCTCCCTCATCAAGCTGACGTGCCTTGGTGTAAATAAAATAACTAAAGCATGGAACCAAAGTACTCACTCATACCCACTCTAATAAAAAATGTCACATATCTCCAGTTCCACACCAATGAACTACCAAAACAGGCGCATTCCTAAATTCAGTGACTCAAAATCACTGATCCTTCCACAAATATACATATTATTATTATTTATTAATTATTCCATACTACGTCAAGCACCCACAGTAAACTCTTGTGTTTGATGTAGGGCTGGGACGATACACCAACTGTGTGATCCGATACGTATCACAATACCTTGCTCATGATCCAGTACATAATGATACTTGCATGAGCTCTTATCTCAAATCTTATAAGCCATCTTTTTCATAGACAATATGGCCAAATACCTGGTACTCGGATAATTTACTGTTGGCTGTGTCAAGTATTGCCCAGTGGATGAAAATATTTACATTTTCACCACTGATTTTCCCTACTAATTCATGTTTGGTTTAACAGTTATTAAACATTTAAGGTAAGAATTGATATTTTTTACTTAGTGTGTGACTGTGATGGATACTTGTATCAAGAAGAAAAATAGCGATCCCCAGATGCATAGGTGTATCGTCTCACGACTAGTTTGATGAAGGTTATTTCATCTTTCAGGAAAAAGTGCAAACCGAACTTCCTGAATAAGACTTCGGTGCGGACTGGTTTGAAGAACTGTGGGGATGTCAACTGTATAGGGAGGATACACTGCTTTCTGGAGTGCACCGGCACCATTAACTTTGGCTGTGGTAGGAATCTTGGAATGTGAACCTTGAACTATACTCTTGTGGGCAGCCAGGAGATGAATAAAGCTTAGTTACCTCTTCGGGATTCTGGGTCGGAACAGGTCCCCAGTTCCTTCTGCTGGTCGGAAGACCAGATTAAAATGAATATTGAGCCATGACTTTGCTGATCATGCTGATAGAGTGTCATAGATGGCAGAGATTGTTTCTCATGCTTTCAGTCAATATTTTCAAGACTGTGCGATTTTTGCTGATATAAGTGCACTGATCTAATAAGCATCCCCTGACTAATTTCTAGATCAAGAGCGGAAGGTCTGGGGTTCAATCCCTGGCAGGGTCATACCAAAAGACGTTAAACAATGGTACTTGTTATTACCCTGTCTGGCGCTCAGCATTGAGGAGCTAAAACAAGGACTGGTCGGCTCAGAGTCAGTTTACTGTGTCTAAATGGGGTATTCATGTTAAACTGCGGCCTGGTATCTCAGTGGGCAAGCACTGTAAATTGGCATCAGTCCGGACTAGTACAAGCAGCCACACACACATGCACACATATCGCTATATAAGTGCAATAATCTTTGATTAAAACCGATGTAAAACCCCATTTCATCCCACCTCACGTTTGTTCTGTCAAACCTTTGACTGTTCATAAAGAGGAAAAGACATTGTTTCATGAGGTTTTCTAATGGTTGTTGACTTGGTTGATGCATGTCATTGATTCCAATTGTGTGGATCAATGCTCATGATATCAATCACTGGATTGTCTGGTCCAGACTCTATTATTTACAGACTGCCGTCATATAGCTGGAATATTGCTGAGTGTGCTGTTGAACAACAAACCAACTAACCTACAATGTAATGGTTGTGTTTTGTTTCAGAACAAGCATGCTACAACAACCCCGGCAAGACACAGCCGACTGGGGCCAAGTTAAAACATACAGGCCGAGATGGCTGGATGGCTGTTGTGTCGGATAAACTTGACTCCATGGTATGTTGTGTAAAAAATGTAACAATTGAACATATTTTACTTTTATATGTTACCTGTTCTGGGTTTTACTGTTATTGATGCATCATAATCCCTGAGAAAAACCATACACTGGTTGATCCTATGATTTATTTAACATCTGACCCTGCAAAATATGTCATGTCTTTATGGCATATTTCTAACCAATGTCAAGAAATATCTGTTACTCATGCTAAGTTTTCTTATTCATACAAAATCAGTAATGATATTGTTACCCGACAGATGAAAACCGTTACCAAAAAACATTTGAAAAGGATCTTTGAATCAATTGTCTTGTCTTGGTAACAGAGACCCAGGAAGAGACGGATCCGAGACTCGTCTGGTCACTGGGTGGATGAAAAGGAATTGGAAGGAAAAACAATTGAAGTAAGTGACGTGACTAATGAATGCTAATGACTGAACTTTATGTGGACATGGGTATGTTTTCCCTTAAATAAAGGTTGCATATTTTATTGTTCTGGACAGTTGTATGAATTGTATCTTCGGTTCACAGCACAAGACTGGATCTGGAGAAGAAAGGAAGGTCAAGGTTGCTAAGATGATGAAAGTGTCATACGATCCCTTCAAACTGATACCATGCCAGCCCTTTACCATAGATCGACCGGTGAGTTGTCAGATGTTGCTGATCATGCAGAGTTTGAATTTTGCGTATTTGATGGGCATTTAGAAGTTGTGAGAACATGAACATGATGGATACATGTCACTTGTTATGGATATCATGTTCTTTTATTCTTTGTCACAACGTTTCTGATCTACTTCTTGCTCCTTGATCAGGTGAATGAATGAATGTTCCTTCATCATTCACCTAATCAAGGAGCAAGAAGTATTTGAAAGTCATGACAAAGAATAAGAGGACATGCTATCCATTAAAAGTGTCTTGTATTTGCGTATTTTGTACACTAAACACTGCGAATATATGATGATACGCCCTACATACTTCATTGTTCGCCAAATGAATTTGATAGCAGTTACAAAAAAAAAATTGTGTTCATTCTGTTTTGTAATGCAGACTGTCGTGACCTGGTTGATGTCTTCAAACCACTGTAGCAGTTAAAAATGTTATCCTCACTGTGCTTTTCAGTATGGATCCTCTTTAGTCAGTCTAAAGATTTTAAGTAACCAAAGCTGAACATATTTAATGAAGATGTGGCACAAGGGAAGGCAGAAGCAGATGATTTCACATCTGAGTGAGTGAGTGAGTGAGTATGGTTTTACGCCGCTTTTAGCAATATTCCAGCAATATCACGGCGGGGGACACCAGAAATGGGCTTCACACATTGTACCCTTGTCGGGAATCGAAACCCGGGTCTTCGGCGTGACGAGCGAACGCTTTAACCACTAGGCTACCTGACCGCCCCCATTTCACATCTGAAATATCCAAAGGCATGAAAGTTGTCTACAACCATAAATACTTGGAAAACTATTCATTAGTTCTTGTAGAACAAAGAGTGACCATTGTACACACAGAATGTATTGCCACTACATATGGAAGCAGGGGCATGGATGGCCCAGTCGTCTGAGGTGCTGCAATTAGCTGTGCAGAGTTGCGTCCCTTGGGCATGCCAGAAACCTATGATTGTGGGTTCGAATCCCGGATTGCCCCGATTATGTTTCTTAGTTTGTCAGCACCATACCCGTGTCGTGGGTTTCACCAAAGTTGTAAACGTCTAAGACCTGTGACACCCTGGTCTGCTGACACACCATGATATTACTGGAATATTGTTAAAAGCGTTGTTAAACCCAACTCACTCACTCACTACATATGGAAGCAATTGTGGGTAGGCAGCTCTGATCAGCAGCATTTGAAACGTGTTTTCTTGATCATACGATAAGAAGCCCTTAAGAAGTTCTGCATCCTCTAGAGGTCTATAATAGTAAAACCATAATACAGTTTCAGTACCCTTGGCGAAATAACCTGGCATCTCTTGTCACTGATATTACTAAAGGGCAGTGTTATGTTGTATGTTTCATCTGTTCTATATTTTCCTGATCTTTCTTCTTTCAAACAGGCTCCTTTCAGCGTGTCCATGACCAACACGACAGTAGCAGTTATGGACGTCCATGCTCACATTTCCAAGACAGAGGTGATAGGGATGCTGGGTGGTCAGTACCATGGTGACCTGGGCATACTGGACATCAGGATGGCCGTGCCCTGCAACAGTCTCAGTACAGGCATGCAGTGTGAGATGGACCCAGGTTAGTCCGAGCCAGCAGTTGTCGTGTATTAGCTAACCATGTGTTACCATGTATCGTGAGCGGCTGAGGTGTGTGTGATCATGTCCTTATTAGGACATCAGGATGGCCGTGCCCTGCAACAGTCTCAGTACAGGCATGCAGTGTGAGATGGACCCAGGTTAGTCCGAGCCAGCAGTAGTCGAGTTACCATGTATCGTGAGTGAGTGTGATCATGTCCTTATTAGGACATCAGGATGGCCGTGCCCTGCAACAGTCTCAGTACAGGCATGCAGTGTGAGATGGACCCAGGTTAGTCCGAGCCAGCAGTAGTCGAGTTACCATGTATCGTGAGTGAGTGTGATCATGTCCTTATTAGGACATCAGGATGGCCGTGCCCTGCAACAGTCTCAGTACAGGCATGCAGTGTGAGATGGACCCAGGTAAGTCCGAGCTAGAAGTAGTCGAGTTACCATGTATCATGAGTGTGTGTGATCATGTCCTTATTAGGACATCAGGATGCCCTGCAACAGCCTCAGTACAGGCATGCAGTGTGAGATGGACCCAGGTTAGTCCGAGCCAGCAGTAGTCGAGTAGTAGCTTACCATGCTAACCATGTGTTGCCATGTATCGTGAGTGTGTGTGATCATGTCCTTGTTACTTATGTGGTTCTTTATTAGTAGCAGGGGCGGTCGGGTAGCCTAGTGGTTAAAGCGTTCGCTCGTCTTGCCGAAGACCCGGGTTCGACTCCCGACATGGGTACAATGTGTGAAGCCCATTTCTGGTGTCCCCCGCCATGACATTGCTGGAATATTGCTAAAAGCGGCGTAAAACCATACTCACTCACTCATTATTAGTAGCACAGAATTCCTCTCATTTTCTTTGAAGATTTGATATTATCTCAAATTCAGTTTTACAATGTCTGAGTATTTCCATTCCCAATTTAGGGATATACAGCAGTTTGAAAGGAACAAATGTTATATTTGGGATAACGCTTTCTTAGTAAAGTACAGATTCTCGTACTTTTTTGGGGTTGAGTCCCATCCAGGATTTGAACCCACACTGCCAGAGTGAGGCACCTAATCGCCAGTACACAAAGTCAGCGATCTAACCCACTCAGCCACTGAGGCTTTCACAAAAATGAAAATCCGACAACTGGTAGTGTAAATCACATACTTTGTATACCCCTCTGATGAGTGTAAATATAGCACAAGTTTTCATAGCAGTTTGAAAGGGATAAGTGGATGCCTGCGAGGACTCTAGGTCGTAATAGGTACACAGTAACTATATGACAGTCACTATAACTATTTCAATTTTACGGAGACGGCGAATTTGTATACTTAGTTATTGTTAATTTTCAGCTATTAATAAATGTATTTTGATGACAGATACTCTGGCTGGTGAGTATATAATGTCCTCTTTCAAAATGATGTTTGTTTCTTTCCAGTCTCCCAGACGCAGGCCAGTGAGCAGATCTCGGCGGCAGGCCTGATTGTAGTCGGCTGGTATCACTCACATCCAACATTTGCCCCCAACCCTTCTGTCAGGGATATTGAAACACAGCTCAAGTTTCAGGTGGGTGTTTGCATTTGTTACAGTGTTTGCATTTGTTAACAATGTTTGCATTTGTTAACAGTGTTTGGATTTGTTAACAGTGTTTGCATTTGTTACAGTGTTTGCATTTGTTAACAGTGTTTGTATTTGTTAACAGTGTATGCATTTGTTAACAGTGTTTGGATTTGTTAACAGTGTTTGCATTTGTTACAGTGTTTGCATTTGTTAACAGTGTTTGTATTTGTTAACAGTTTGCATTTGTTAACAGTGTTTGTATTTGTTACAGTGTTTGCATTTGTTAACAGTGTTTGCATTTGTTAACAGTGTTTGTATTTGTTACAGTGTTTGCATTTGTTAACAGTGTTTGCATTTGTTAACAGTGTTTACATTTGTTAACCTTTAAGTTTAAGGATGTCCGCTGTAATAAGAGTATTATATTTTCATAGGTATTTCTAAAATTGTTGTTATTTGATCTAACTTTTCAAATAACAAATAAAAGGATAACTGTGCATTTTATACACTTGTAAACCATGACACCAAATTCACACTTTACTATTGAGGGATATTGGGAGATCACCAGTAACTCACGCTTGTCATAAGAACCACCTAGGCGATTTGGAGTCATCTTACACTTTGAATGATGTGTAAAGAAATATCTTTTGAAATTTGTCAGTTTTGAATTTTACCTTGTAGGACTGGTTTGCCAAAGGTGGCAGCCATTTTGTTGGAGTGATTGTGAGCCCTTACAACAAACTGAACCCGGGGGTCATATCGGAGGTCCAGTGTCTCACCATTGGGAGTGAAATGTCTCCAGAATATCACTGCAGTGAGTTGTTGATGTCTGCCGTAGCGGTGTTGGAAATAAAGCAGGAATGAGATTTTTTTGATAACCCTGATGTGAAAAGTAAACATTTTCCTTGTCTTTCAAGCAATTTTGAGGCACCCTCGTCTTTAGATCATGAGCTGGCTTACTGAAACAGCTGTTCAGACCATTGCAGAGCTCGTTATCATTGTCCCCATGAAGATCCAGAGTAGAATAGGTCTTCATCAACCCATGCTTGTCGTAAGAGGCGGCTAAGGGGATCGTGTGGTCAGGCTCGCTGACTTGGTTGATGCATGTCATGGTATCAGAAATTGCGTGGATCGATGTTTATGATATCAATCACTGGATTGTCTTGTCCAGATTTGATTATATACAGACCGCCGTCATATAGCTGGAATATTGCTGAGTGCAGCGTTAAACAAGAAACAAAACAAACAAAACAAAAATCCAACAAGCCTAGGGCTTCGAAACTGTGAATTAAAGACAGACTGTATGTTTTTTACAGACCTGCCCTATGAGTTTGACTACAGCATGACCTATGACAGCAGTACTGATGGGGAACTCATCGGGCCGCTCATAGCTCTAGCGGACAAGTACCCCTCCAATGTCAACAGGGTGTACTTGTCCAGACAGTTCAGGGTAGCTCTTGGCATTTCCTGTCTCACAAAGGTTTGTATACAGTTTGAATTGTTGTTGAATCCAACCTGACATATTGATTTGCATTACGCTCCTTGGTAAACTTGGCCCCTAGTACACATGCTTGATCAAGGGCCAAAATGTCTTCTTGCATGCACTGGTTCAAGATTTGCTTTTCAGATTTATCCCGTTTATGATCCTGTTGATCTGTCAGCGCCGTACATGTGCGTGTGTTTCACCAGTCTAATGCAAATCAGATCTTTTTCTACAATATACCTCACTGCATCGGACAACATTACCTCAGGAGGTGTCAGCTGAACTTTCTGATCAGCCAGTAAGCGTCAAGACTTCTAAGATTCACCGGGCAAAGCATTCAGATCAGCATGTCTGATCTCGAAGTCGAACTAAAATGACCACTTCTGACTTTAGATAATTAAGGCAGCGGCATATTGTTGTTGTTTATACACCCTGTCATGTCTCGAGTGCCATGTCATCTACACCCAAAGTACCATTGAAGGAATATTTGTGTTCTATGTGGGTTTCTCTTTTGTACAAATTGAAATTCCTTAAATGAAACCTATTAGTTTTAGAAAGCTGACATCTGATTGGCTCAAAGAGCCTCCACAACCTTCATTTCACTCAGGGTTCACTTGATGCAACTACCAATGAGGTGTCCTCAGATTTTATGTATTATATTGGAGTAAAATATCTGATTATTATGAGATTATAGGTTTCACCTAAGTGGTAAATGACTACAACCTGGGTCCCTCTGCTCTGTTACCCACATTAAGCCCAAATTCACTGTGCAGAGTTGCGTCCCTTTGGCATACCAGAAAGCTATTATCATGGGTTCGAACCCTTGTTTGCACTCACTCACTCACCCACTCACCCACTCACCCAATCACTCACTCACCATGCTGGGCAGCAGTGAACTCAACCTCCTTATTGACTCAGTAAACAAAGTGATATCTACGTAATTGTAAGATCTAAACAATGTTTGTCTTCCAGATGGTTCAGTCTGTCCGCCATCACCTGCTTCCCCCGAGTGACAGTGAGGACCACGACGGCCAGTACGACTCGGTGATACAACTGCTGGAAGACACATTCCTCAAACTCTCCTCCATTGACCCCAAATATACTCTGCAGGATCACATTGCGCTCGGGGACTTCGACGAACACTCCGTGCCAGACATCCACATCGATGACGAAGATCTTGACACCTTTGTTCCAACAAATCCTCAGTTGCCACTGATTGACACATGACCAAGGCTAAGCCTCGCAAGGTTTAGTCAACAAAATGTTTGCTTGCTCCAGACTGCGTGACTTGAGAAATGTGATTTTGTTTTTGATAGGTTTGAAATTGTTTGCAGTCAGCAGACGACGTACACAATCGTGTATGATGCCTCTTTCTGTGTTAGGGTTATTGTTATCATGGTTATTATTGTCTTACAAATTTTCTTCTGAAGAGAAAACTGTTACCATTGATGAAAAGGGCTGTGGGGTACTGAATAATTAAAATGGTTGCTTGTCATGCGGGAGGCCCACGTTCTGTTCCCACATGGGTACAGTGTATGAAGCCCATATTCTGGTGTCCCCTGCCTTGATGTGCATGGACTATTGCTGGAATCAACCTAAAACAAAACTCACTCATGTTGAGTAGTTTTCTTTTCTTACTTTGTATAGAATTAGATTACTTATCGTGATAACTGAAATGCTTCAACTTAGGCTTTATAAAAATAAAAGAATTGGTTCTCAGGCAATGACATTTGAAAATATAGTCCGGATAGGCGGTGTTTTTTGTGTTGTTGTTCTAGTATGTAACCATGGTAACCAAATTCAGTTGTGTACAATCAACCTGGGAAAGGACATACAATGTAAATGTATTCCTTAATGAATGAAATACTGGAATACAGTATTTGACTACCGTTGGACTTGGAATATTTGAGGATATTTTTATTTTATTTTTAAATGGAAATAAAAATGAAACATGCGGCAAACTTTATGATAATGCAGGCGGTGCCTGAGAACCAGGACTATTATTTTTTTAGCCTTACAGTCTTTGTTTGAGAGGTTCAAGGTCAGACATATCTTCACTGTCAAGTGGACATGTGGAGAGTATAGTGATTAGTGAAGTATGTGTGGCTGTGGGAAATAATTGTCAATGTTCATCATACCAACTTTATTTAATTTATGATTCATAATTGTTGATGATGTCAATTCAGTGTGTACCTATCAATTATCGCACAATCAAAAGCAGAAAGGAGTGAATGTGATCATGTCTGTTTTCATATTTGCTTGTCCTGGCTAGCATCAAATGTGTATTTATATGTAGAATGTGTTGTGGGCCATTGTCCCGACGAATACAGACCCGGTACTTCTGTGTTGTAGATGCTTGTGTGCTAGATGTGTGCTAGATGTGTGCTGACTGGAGTGGCTGTTTGTTGTCTGGAGTTTTTGTTAGCTTGTGGTGAGAAGACAATTGGTCCATCATCAAATTGCATTTGAAAAACCAGATTGGAATGCTCACAAGTTACAACAAATGTTGTTTCTGGCAAATTGTGTTTGAGATTTAAGGCAGTTATTGTAAACCGTATGAAAAAGACTTTAAGACCACATATATTTACTTCTTGGCCTACCATATTATCTGTATAAAGCACCCTGCTCTAATTATCACCCCCGAACCAACTTCTAGGTCAGTCTGAAATCTTTATGAGCGTGCTGTACTTCGCCCAAATTTCTATCTGACAGTCAGTATTTGCTATATTGTAGATTTCTAACTGAAAGCAATGTTAAAGGATTATATAATTTTAATTGAAAATGTTGTTGTTTCATTGATGTTTGAAATATTTTTTATTCTCTATCATGTCTATCACTCTTTCTGTGACAACAAATTTAACTTGTGTATGGTTTTAATAAGCATGATAAGCACCCCTTTCTCAATTTTGGCAGTTCCATGGACGTTTATTATGGCGAATACGGTATCACTTGTGAAGTAGCCATAGCATTATTTTGCATTTACTATTTTGTGAAGAGAATTAAGGTAATTAATCTTAATTAGTTCTTATTTCAACAGTCAATTATAAACTGGTTCATGTTATGGATATTAATTTGAACAAAATGGAGGTCTGCCGTATGTAATTGTTGCAGCTGATGACTCATGTGTTCTTTATTCTCTGGCCTTTGTTGTCAATACTACTGACCACGTTTTTCCATCATTTTTGTATGTAGTAAGCATATCCATTTTGCACATGTACCCCAGTATTTAAAAGTACATTTCAAACATATATAGTGTCCTCAGTGTCCGTTGGGTCTACTCTTGCCTACAGTGAAAAACGACTTCAGTGACTATTAACTGGAAGGTTGTGTTTGTGATTATACCCTGTTAAAAAGTGGTATTAATTGCTTTGATAGTAGACAAATGCTTACACACCGGAAATAAGCAAAGCCTGCAAGATAAGGCTGGAATGAGTAACTCGGGTACTCGGGTTGGGGGACACTGAGCAGGACCTGGGTACCCCCAGGACTATCCTGTCCCATGGTTAGTCACGTGATTATTTTGTTTAATGATGAAAATTATCTTGAACTCCATGGTTACACTACAAGTCGCTAATGTTGGCATTTCTTTCTGACAGTGCATGCATTCCTTCTAACTTTTATATTTTTGAATATAGATAAAGCTTCAGTCAACTTCAGTGTATACATGACCAGATCGTTTTATAGTGTAGGGGAGTGTATCTAAATACTTTTTGTCAGAGCTCTGTTCAAACAATTCTACCCGGGTACCCGGGTAGGGTCGGATGATAGAGGCTTTGGTACCCGGGTAGTAAATTTGGACTTGTCCCAGCCCCACTGCAAGAGTACAGTAATGGAGGTGAAGACCTTGATGTATTTGGTATTAGAGGTATACAAGTTTTGGGGAGAAAACTTCTTGCACAGATTTGCTTTTGTACACAACTTTCCAGCATAAATTTCGTCTTGTTGTCATGTTCACAGTGGCAAATTCTATGATTTTTATGACAGATAGGTCAGCAGATTTTGCTTGATGGTGACCGTTACAAGCTCAAGAACTGTGGTTTGAAGTTTGAATGAAAGGTTATTGTTGTGATGGGGGTTCTGAACTCAATGTTGCTGAGCAGAGTTGTGTCCCTTTGGCACGCGGGTTTCACCGAAGTGGTAAACGTCTGACACCTGCATCACTTGGGGCTTTCGTCCCACATTAATCTGACACGACGTGATATAACTGGAATACTGTTTAAAGCGTGTTAAACACAACTCACACAACACAATGTGACAGTGAGGGCTGGACACAAATCAGCCATGGTTCAGATGACAGGGTAATGTCAGGACTAGAATCGCAGCCTCTGGTGCATGCATTTGTTTTCATGTCACAGGAGACACATGTGGACTCAATTTTCTCAGAGGGGAACTGAAACTTTAAGTTTAACTGTTTGTGTCAAGCAGGTTTTGATCGAGGATTTCCTGCAATAATTAGTAGCTTTATTCCATGAATTTGTCAATTTCATCACAAGTTTACTTTCTAGTCTATCAAATAAAACCACATGCAAGATATCATGGCATCATTGGCATTTTCATTTCGTCATATTTAATCAAATATGACCAGATTGTTCTTTTTCTGTAGTTTTTTAATGGATCCTTCCAATGTTGGGCACTGCATTTGACACAATGTAGGGCCTAGCAGAACTCAGGTGTGTTGATGTAGCTTTGCTTGGTGAAGCTTGCCATATCATAGATTAGCTCAGAATGCTTCAGATGTTAAGTAGTATTTTTTCATACAAATATAGTTACTATAGCTGTGTTATCAGAATGTGCTTTAGACTCTATTAAGGCCACATTCATTTGATTATAGTAATATTTCCTACTCAAAGATTTGCTTTGGTCATTGCTTGTAGGTTGAAGTGAAAATTTGAACAAGTGTGTGTGTGTATCTGAATATTTTTATATTTTGATATATTTGTGGCATGATGCTGTTTGGGTTCATCGGTTTCCAGGGAAACAAGTGCTACAGTTTAGGATGTAAGATGGTATATACCAATATTTTAATCAGCATTCACATCTGGCAGGGATTAGAGACCATACTACAAACTTGGGGTCACCATTGGATAAATATGCAAATGAGGTCGAGGAGGAACTACTTTTAGAAAGCTCTGTACATCGATGTGATGCCTACAAGCTAAAAAGCCCATTGCTTAGCAGTCAATGAAGGATTCGTGGTTTGCCGATGTATGAGTGCTCATATATGTAAACAAACCATGTAAACATGACAACAAACCATGTAAACATGACGGCAAATCATTTGGCACTATGTCTTCAATATCATCGGTTCACTCAAGCTTTGTATTCCTACACGGTATCTAAGAATACCTTCGTGAAGTCTTAGACTTCGATTATTGTATTTTAAGACATTATGTGATGAAGAAATTATTACTTTAGGCTCACATAATACAATTTTTATTCCTTATATGTAATGTTAATGATACAAACACATGTTAAGAATCTGTATTTATTTGTTTGGACCACATCATTGTAACTTATTGTTTTCTTGAATGTCTTGTTCAAATGTGAGAAGGCAGAGGTAAGCATATTCTTTGTCAGCATGGATTGGAGGTTAATTTTTAAAAAATAAGTTATAATTAAATGTTTTGACAAAGATACAAACAAGTAACATTTACAATTTAAACAATTGTTTTGATTTTTTTTTAGGGAAATGCTATGTAAGAATAGAAAATAATGTGGTCTGGCATACTTACCATTAATCTTCAAACCTCCAACTGTTATCCTCAACAATCTTCAATCCTCCAACTGTTATCCTTAACAATCTTCAATCCTCCAACTGTTATCCTCAACAATCTTCAATCCTCCAACTGTTATTACTCAACAATCTTCAATCCTCCAACTGTTATTACTCAACAAGCTTCAATCCTCCAACTGTAATCCTCAACAATCTTCATTTCTCCAACTGTTATCCTCAACAAGCTTCATTTCTCCAACTGTTATCCTCAACAATCTTCATTTCTCCAACTGTTATCATCAACAATCTTCAATCCTCCAACTGTTATCCTCAACAATCTTCATTTCTCAAACTGTTATCCTCAACAAGCTTCAGTCCTCCAACTGTTATCCTCAACAATCTTTATTTCTCCAACTGTTATTATCAACAATCTTCATTTCTCCAACTGTTATCCTCAACAATCTTCATTTCTCCAACTGTTATCCTCAACAAGCTTCATTTCTCCAACTGTTATTATCAACAATCTTCATTTCTCCAACTGTTATCCTCAACAATCTTCAATCCTCCAACTGTTATTACTCAACAATCTTCATTTCTCTAACTGTTGTCCTCAACAATCTTCATTTCTCCAACTGTTATCCTCAACAATCTTCATTTCTCCAACTGTTATCCTCAACAATCTTCATTTCTCCAACTGTTATCCTCAACAATCTTCATTTCTCCAACTGTTATTACTCAACAATCTTCATTTCTCAAACTGTTATCCTCACCAATCTTCAATTCTCTAACTGTTATCCTCACCAATCTTCAATTCTCTAACTGTTATCCTCAACAATCTTTTATCCTCCAACTGTTATCCTCAACAATCTTTTATCCTCCAACTGTTATCCTTAACAATCTTTTATCCTTTGACAGTTACTTCAAAATGTTGTTTCTTGTAGATGACGGCAGGCCTTTTTGGCATAATATCGCTATATTTCTTGATAAAACACAACAGCTACATGCAAGTTTGTCAGCACATTATTTTTTGCAGCACCAATGCTGTTCATAGATGTAGTGTTTGAAAGAAATGATGACAAAACAGTTTGTGTATTTTATCATGATC